ATACCCCGTCATAAAATGCTAGGCCGAGGAAATTATTGACTCGTCATATTTCCCGTCAGCAATATCGTTAACGCGCGCGCCAATCTCTTTACGTCGGTCGCGCGCGGCAGTCAAAAACGAAACTCCGATCGAGAATGATCGGAAATGATTTCGCGCGCGAGTTACGCAAAATGTTTGCGCGCGCCATAACCGGGGTTGCGAAATCGAAACGACGAGATTTTATAGGACCGCGAACTATTATGACCGACGACGATAAATCGCAGTATATTTGGAAAAACAGACGCGTTTCACGTTTTTTTAATCACCAAACCTGTACACATCTGACACGTTGTTGTAAATATACATGTATACACTCGAAAACAATTTTACTCGTTCCCGCGCGTTTGTTTAACCGTCTTACAAACAATATAATACACATATGAGAGGTGTCGGAAATAACGCATACAAATCAAACTCGAAAAATAATGAGAGAGAAGAGTGAAAAAAAAAAACACGTGACTTTACTATAGTCACGTGTCTTTAAAAACCGGATGAAGTTATATCGGTACTGTCGGTGGCGTTCTGCCGGCTCGAAATCACCACGCCGCAAAGAACATTTGTGGGTGCGATCGGTACTGTCGGAGGTGTTGAAAACCAGGCGCGAAAACCAAAAGTGATCGGTGCAGTCGTTTTTTAGATACTGCTCCATGAAAATCTCTTTACTTCTCAATCGCATGAATTTCGCGTATATGAGGCATTATTTGTTTACACAGCACAGAAGCTATGCGCGTAACTTCTAATCGAGCTGATGTCGTCGCAGCTCGACGCGTCGGACTTTTGAGTGTGCAATAATGCGACAGACGATATGCTGATAGTTCGGCGTTAAAATCGAGTAAATTAGCACATCCGACTCTCGAAGGTAAGACCTCGAAGCGCCACGATATAATGTTTCTCGTAATTGCATTGTTCGCGCGAGAACTCGTGATCTATTGTACTTTCACCCCGGGAGGTGGGGGGGTTTAAATGTTACATAATACCACCCCTCGATAGTTAACGCCGGGAGCTGCCGCTGCGCACCAAATACCGCGTTTCGCGAGTCCCGACAACGACAAAAGAGGATCGGGAATACCGGGCGCGCAATGTTATTACGATTTAATGCACGGAATTGTTTCCCCGGGGTTGAATAATCGTATCGCGGCACACGGTTGCGCAATCGTGGCGCACACAACGTGAGTACACGTGGGCGCGCGCAGCTATCGCAGACCTTAGAACACCTAACGTTTTATGTCGGCGGCGACGCTGCCTCTCCGACGAGTGCTCGCTCTTTCTCTCTCTCTCTCTTTCTCTTTCTCCTTTTCCGCCGCTACAGAAGAGCCCCTTGCGCTCCGAATATAATGCTCCGTTCCATTATTCATAAACATTTTATAATCTTCTTAGCGCCGGTGAATTATTGCCGTTCGTGGCAATTGAAATAATGCGGACTAGCGGTTCACGTTAACGGAGGGGGGGAGGGGAGGGGAGGAGGCGGAAAGGGGGATGGCCCAGTTGGGATCGCGCACGCATAACGAAGGGAAAAAGGGGGAACAACGGGGCAACCCCCCGACAGAGGGAGAGAAACCGGTAAAGAAGCGGTGTTCCGCTCTGACGGAGGGTGGCGGCGGGTTGCGCGGCAACGAGAATAGAACGAGTTCGTTCGTTGAAGTGGCGTTGAAATGTTTCGAAGCGAGGGAAAAATAATTGGACGAAGAGCTCCGTCGTCGTTCCCTTCTCTCCCATGAGAGACGGTAGTTTGAGAGAAGATTGGGGAAGGGGGAGACAACGCAATGCGTCGCTTCAACGATGACGACGACGACAACGACGACGACGACGACGACGACGACGACCGACGTCACGTCTTACTGAGAACTCGATCCGAGTTCCTTTCTTAAGCTGCTCGTTACTGAGAAATCTTTCGTCTCATTTCGAAGATAGGTGGCATCAGCTGATAAGAGAATTTAAACGGCGAGCAGCAAGCGCAGAAGTGAGAGACGAGGGCTCAACCAATAACTTTCGCTGATAACTTTCAGATGTCGCAAGATTTATTGGAGGTCACATCATGGGTGTGAGACAAAGCGCGAGTTGCGCGCGTCAACAGAATATTCTGGCCGCGTCGTACAACGTCTCCTCTACTCTCGACACGTAACTGCGCGCTTTACTCCAACGGATGACGCGGGAATAAGAGTTGGCAAAACGATATCCTCCCCTCTGTAATTTCGGGACGTCAGAACTGATGGTGGATTCGCATCGTGTTGAGAAATATATGTGTACATATATATATATATATACACGCGTTGGGAGATAAATGTATATATATATATATGTACGCGGCCGCGCGCTCCCTCCTTCTCTCTCTCTCTCTTCTTGATCTCTCTATTACAGAACGGATTAGCTAGTTATGAAACTCGACCGAGGCTCGGGCGGGCGGTGATGAAGCGTGTTGGGAAAGTTTCCGCCGAGCGAGATGTGCCTTCGCGGCGGAGTTGCATGGAATAAGCGATCAGGTTGCTCTTCCCGCGGCAGGCACATTCATCCCCGCCCGGTAACTTCGTTCTGATACCGATGTCCAAGGACGAATGTCGCGGTCGGGATCCACGGCGCGGAATTATCTCGTGGAAAATTCGCCTCCGAGCGTCGGGAATGGAGAATTTGGATTTTCGCTCTCTCCTGTTCCGGGAGAGAGTTTCAAGAAAGTATAGAAGCAAGCCGCGTGTGTGGTAAGACCGCGACGGTCGTCTCCGATCGACTGCATCCGACATCGAAAGGTCAACTTTGCGAGGCGGAGATTAAGCCCGAGATTGCGTTCAGACCTTCTCTCTTGCCCTCTCTATCTCTCTACCCGCGTGCTTCATTTCGTCAAAGGTATTGTAATCGCCCCGGACGACATACCTGAGATTCCCGACGAGTAATCGCGAATGCATTCCACGTGATAAACCGACGACTACCGGTTGGAAACTGTCGTCGTGCCGGCGCTCGCTCGCGTAATTTTAATTAAAGAGCTCGGAAAGCCGGCGCAACATCGTTCTGGCTTTCGACAAAGAACCCGGGCTCTGACGCAACGACAGAACAGAGAGAGAGAGAGAGAGAGAGATAGGGGAGGAGGATGTGAAGGATAGGAACAGAGCGAGAAGAGAAGAAAGAGAGACGGCGGACTTGGTCTTTGCTGGAAGGAACACAGACTTCTCACATTGTAAAGCTCTCTTCTCTTTTCGCGTGCTACTTCCGTTTCTTCCTCCTAGGCCACCCTTGCGACCGTCACCCTTCCTTCCTTCTCGCGCTTTCTCTGTGCTTCCTTCATCGTCGCGAGCGCCTACCTACCTACCTGCCAAAGACGATGGGCGTGCTGCGTTACGTCACCGACTGCGAATCAAAATCTTATTAACTGCTGAAAGTGAGTTTCACTTCAAAGTGGAATTTAATTACATTCGCGCCTGCCTACCTCCGCGCCCTCCCGTTTCCTTATTTCTCCCCTCAGTCGCTTCTCGGTTTACCCTATCTTTCTCTCCCGTCCCCTCCCTTTCATCCCCTTTTCGCTTCTTCCGAGCGCGGTCCGCTTTCTTATTTTCTCCGATCACCTTTTCCTCTTCGCTACCTACCTCCCTCCCTATTTCCCTTCCTCGTTTCTCGTTGCTCGCCGACGCATCACGGGAGGTCTTCACTTTTAAATGAAAATATTTAAATTTTACCTCCTCTCGTCCAGCGGAAATTATTGCTCTCGCCGTCTCGTCCGACTGTAGCCACTTTTCGTCCGTCATTCCGCCGGTTATCCCCGCCCGAATTACACTCACCTCTCGTCCGTCCGCCCCCCCTCCGTCGTTCCGCGCTGTTTACAGTGCGAGCGGATATTCAAATGCCGTCGGGATTATATCCTTCCGCCTCGGCTCCGTTGTGCATCATCGCCGGAGGTCGGAGAGGGCCTCCCATCTCCTCCTTTTTCCTTCTCGTAATGCCACGTCGAGGCAATTGCCTTCTTTCCTTTGAGATAGCTGCCCTTCCTCCCTTTCGCTGCCTCATCTCGCGATTAATTTCGTGGAGTCCGTTCGCCTCCTCTTCACCTTCCCCCTATCCCCCTTTTGATAACCAGGTGCCCTAGAGAGTCCCTTTGCTCGCTTCATCGTTCGATGAAGAGACGTCCGCAGACACCGTAGATTATGAGCTTTGCGATCTCACAGACGTACCGGGGTATTTTAAGAGAGTTACACAGATATATATATATATATATATAAATGTTCGTATAATTTTTTACATTTTTTATTTCTGATATTAAGACTGATTTTTTTCTGTTTCGGATAAAATGTCAAATTTCTAAAACGGCAGCGTTACACCGCAAGCGTTTACCTTAGATCGCCGCATTTTTGCGACAATTTTTGAGTGACTAGAAACCGAAAGAATCGCGAAAAAAAGAGAGGCAAAGACGCGCAGCGAAGACGTGAATCGACGATCGCGCGCGGCAAAGAGAGACGCGAACATACCGCCCTACGGGCTAAAAATTGCACAGATGCCCGTATTTTTATGGACAACGCGCCTATGCTTTTATCCTCGTGACATAAAAATACACGGGGCGCGCGCCGTGTTACGGTACACTTAGCTTCAGCTAGAATATGGTTTTCGTGCTTAATCTCTTAGAGAAAGAGAGAGAGAGAGAGAGAGACTGAAGCGTGCTATTTTTAAATTCCTTTATCGACGATCTTTCAACTTTTTACGACGGTGAATCCTTCGTCGCAATGTATATGTTACATTGCGCCTTTGACGTCGTGATTTTCACTGATATTTTTTAATTTTTTTTATTTTCAAATTTTCGTCGAACGAGAGTGTGCAAAGATGAAATTTAAAACAATCTGTTTTTATTCGTAATACGTACTGCGAGAAAGGTTGTTGAAAACACGGGCCACACTTTGTCTCATGCAATGATGGCTGTGTATTTTCGTGCAGAAAGAAAACAAGAAAAAAACAGAAAAAAAAAAAAAAAAAACAATAGCACTCACCTCTGCTGGTTCCGTCGGGCCCACGGAGGATGCTGCACTCCTCTATAGATCCGAAGGCAGTGAACAATTGTCGCACATCGTCTTCAGTTTGTTGCTTGCTTAGCATACCAACGAACAGCTTTCTGTCTGCAGGCGGACGACGGCGCGTTGTTGCGAAATAGAGGGAACAGAGAAAAAAAAGAAAGAATAGCGTTAGTTAGTTCCGTGTGCGGGCCAAGCGTTTTTGTAATAAAGGCGTTAAAAGAGAAGATCTTGCGGCTAACACCGAGAACGACAAAGTTACACGGTTACACCAGCATCCACCATCCTAAAAGGAGAAGGAAGAGGGAATATATATGTATATATATAGAGGATATATATATATATGTAATATATATGTAAAAACATTTGTGTATCTTGTTTGTGTGTGTGTGTGTGTGTGTATGTGTATGTGCACGCGTATAATATCTTCGATACGTACGATTGCACTCGTCGTCACGTCAAATATACATCTAAACAGCTGGAGAGACGTCAATGTGTGTGTATGTATGTATGTACGATCTTGTTTGTGTGTGTGTTTTCTGTGCGACAGCACGTGTAACCGAGAACAACTAACGAAAACAATGATCATAACCGTTAACAGTGTAACATACATATAACAGATGAAAACGACGACTTTTTCAAAGGGAAATAGTAAAGAAAAATCGTAATATAACAGAGATAAGAAAAGAAAACATATCCACCCAATGTTCATATCTATCTAAGCCAAAAAGGAACGACAAACGGAAAGGGGGGCGGGGGAGGTGGCGGGAGGATCGCGATAAAATCAGATCATGGGATATTAAGCGATCCGACTGTGGCTGATGTATTCTCGACGGTGATCCGCGTCGAGCTAACTGTGACGTGCTGTGTCTGTGATTTTCTCACGCGAGAGCAATATCGTTTTAAACTGGCGAGCGAGCCAGGCCGAACAAAACGTAATGTTACATTCTCGAGATGGATCACCGTCGCACAAAGTTTCAACAATGAATGCGCTCGCTGTATATTTTCTGCAGCTATTTCTAAGATCCGGGAATGAGAAGTGATAAACTATGCGAGACATTTGACAAGGTTAAAACGCACATGTTTTGACGAAGGATATATATCGTAAAAAACTAGTTTCAGTAATTCTCGCTTCCTGAGTTTTCGCGTTACGAAATGCATTCAGAATGCTTTCACGTGCAAAATACTTGAAAAGTTTGATAAAAACACGAAGAAATAATTTTTTTTTTGTTTTCCAATACTTTTACCTGTGCAAAAATATTCTTTGATCTACTCACCAATCTTTAAACGCTATTTTCGAATCTCGACTGATTAGCGAGAGATGCGTCTATTTAGAAATATCTGCACTTGAACGTATGTCAGCGTGTGTACGTGTATTTCCATGTAATATCCAATAAAAAAAAAAAAAAAAAAAAAAAAATAAAACAAAACACGATCATGGCTGTGCGAGAGTCACAATCGAGTCGAGGAGGAAGAGAACACACAGAAATGTGGATTCAACCGAGTCAGGATATAAATATTAAAAAAAAAAAAAAAAAACAAACAAAGGAATTTTGGAGAATGATTGACTGTCGAGAAGTAGGGGGATGTCGTAAACTGTCATGTATAATAGAATCAAATCTAAGTAATACAATAATATAATAAACGTAGCTCACATCATAATCAGAAAATATGTACAGAGAATATGATAAAAAACACATCGACAACGAACGAGACAACACATCCAACGAGCGAGCCACTATCGTATGGTTATAGCTGATATATATATATATATGTATATATAAAGAGCGGTATATATAAAATATGTATATATATATATATATACATATATACGATTAATATATAGTTCGTCCACACGCATATGGATGTGAGGTCAGATAAGAGGGGTTTTCGGGAAATATAAGACGACGGGACTTTGGAAATTCAGAAACACGTACAATATGTATATATACTCGGCATTTTCGAGCGCAAAAAGAGGGTACGGTTGCTGTCGTACGGTCGGTAGACGCTCTAAGACCGCGATTATCTCAATGTATTCTGCATCGGTCTCGGTCCATTGTGCCGATGATCCGCGTTGGGAATTCTAAGAGCGTCCACACCACGCACGCCCCGTGTCGTATATAACACGAGGCTTCAGTTTTAACAGTGTATATAAATATATATATATATATAACGGCGGTGCGCAAATATATAAACAGAGCAAAAATACACGAACGACAGGTTTACGGCTACAGGTTTCACGCACGTGGGTTTTACGCACAACACTGGTCTATAATACCTTTCTGTATGCCTAAAGAACAATGCGTGTCGTGCCGGAGAAAGAGAAAGAGAGAGAGAGAGAAAGAGAGAAACGGATCAGAGGAGGATTACTGACGAGAGATTTACTGTGTGTGTAATGTCAACAGAGGAGCCCAATCTTTTCCACAGAGCACGAAATGCAAATTTTCGGAAGAAGATTTTGTTCGATCGAAGAAATTTGGATTTTTCGTGTAAAGCGAAACAAAGCCAATCGGGTTCCAGTGCCAATTGTTCGAGCCAATCAGGAGATTCACGGACGCATACACATTTCAATGATCGTCCTGAATATTTGGAATAAATATGATCGCAGAGAGTGCGAAGAGTGACCTGATGAGCCGCGCGTTTCATCATCATCGCAAACTCGTCGAAAACATGGTTTTATTTTTGTTTTTGTTTTTGCGATTTGAATTTGGACGAGAGATGCGCGCACTTGGTGCAAATTTCAGCCTCCTCCTCCGAGAGGATGGATCTGTATCGGGGCGACGTTAAGTCGGGCTGAGGGATAAGTGGGTTCGTGACGGGATGCTTCGGGAATTCGGTGGTTCGAACACTAGCGAGCGGCAAAATGGACTTTGCGGCGAGCTGTGCTGGCTGAATCAGCGGTGATGGCGTGATATCGGGAGGAAGAGAAGAGGGAAGAAGGAAGTTGTATAGCGGACCCGTTTTTTCCTTATTCGTTCTTTTCTCTCTCATCTGTTTTTTTTTTTTTTTTTTTTTTTCATCGACGGGAAGACAGGGAGACGGAGACGGGGGAGAGTTCTCTTTCTGCCAATTTGCGGAGAAGAAGAATAGAGGTACTGGAAGGAAGCTAGCTATCTCCTGGAAGTCGAAGTTACCTTCAGCGGCCGCCACCGGTGCCTCCTACTTCCAGAAGATGGCACTGGCGCTCCCGTCGTCCATCATGTACTCTGGAATACAGAACAGAAACAAAGAAATGGCATTGATGAACCAAAAAACTGCACCATTCGTCGTCTAACGTGAATCCTTGTTTAAGATTCAAAGATTCGGTCTAGACTCGTTCCCCCAACTTGGGGGGGTAAATCGCATCGATGCGCGATGTTCCTTCACGTGCTTCAAACGCTATACGAGGACATTATTTTTCGATCGGTTCTTCTGTGCGTGATGAATATGACACGACCTATCACAAATTATGAAAAAAAAAAAAAAAGATCAATAAAATACGCAACTGTTGTTGTGATATAAAATATATCAGTACATGTACTAAAACCGAAATGTGTACGCAAAATTGCGGACACACGCGTCGAACGATACTGTTTCTTGCCGACTTTGCATCGCGATCAATTGTTGCTATTTGACTGAGTTTCGCATTAATGTAATGATTAAATTCGACTGAAATAGATATTTTATTTCGTTATTGTGTTAACCACGAGGCATGACTGTTCATGAATTAAATCGCGACAGTGCAATTAGATATTGTAATTACAGTAACCTATAATTTTCATAATGTAATACGAATGTAACACAATCAGTTTAATAGGCAATAATAATTGCAGAAATTAAACTATCATGAAACATCAATAGTCCCGGTAACAAGATTTGAAAACTCATATTATGTTATTTCGAAATATAATGAATGCGAAACAATGGGGACTCGGATAATGTCCGTAAGCAGTTCAATATGTTTTTGATGGGCAAAAACAACTGAGCGAAATCTCGCAAACAAATTCCAAATTATTATATTCACACAAATCCGGGAAGTTTATAACTCTAAGACTTCGTCGGATGATTTTCATTCAAAAGTCAGTCACAATTACGAACTTTGCGCGAAAAGTACTCGAAGAAGTTTATATTTTTTTTTTTTTTTTTGACACCCCTCTTCGGTTAGATCGCGAGCCGCATTTCTCTGAGAAAACGACGCTCTGTTTTGGATCCACCGCATTTCCCGCGTGAATGAGCTTAATGACGCGTTTCGCGCGCGTCTGGCGACGGAAGGGGGTTATGGAGACGCAAAATTGGCGAGCCGAGTTAAAGGTCGTTGTCGCGGATGCTAGACGCGAGCTCATTCCAAGAGACGCCTCGACTCTCGCGCCTTCCAGTCGGGCTCCGGGGCACATTTAAGGATTTGTCTCGGGAAATTAGATTCTCGCCTGACTTGCAGCCTCGTTGCATCCCCCGCTTTCCGCAGATTCCTTCAGCCCCCCCCCTCCCGCCTGTTTCCCTTCGGCGTATCAACGCCTCGACCATCGCTTCTCCTCCGTCGGGGAATATCCCGTTTGTCCTTAGCCCCGGGTACTTTTCGCCAAGAGAGAGAGAGAGAGAGAGTTCGCTCCTATTGTCGCGTCAGGACACCGTGGGGACCAAGAATTGGACCTTTGTCGCCAGAGCTAAGTGTTAACGCGCCCTTCGCGTCCTCCCTCCCTCGCGATTCCCCGAGCAAAAGCGAAGGAGAAATTAACTCTCGGGAATTATCCCCCCGCGCCGGACGCGACAAAGCGAACGTTTTGTCTGACACGACGCGGTTCGACGCGGACGACGCTCCGAAACCGCGTTTATCTTCGATCGCGGTAACGCGTATTTTTTTTTTATCTCAAGTCTATCGAACTTGTTGAGTTGTTAATTAAGTCAACAATTATAAAAAAAATTAGTACAAATTAACACGTATTCTGAATTAATGAAAATTTACATACTCGTACATAAATTTATCCAAGTTCGTCTCAATTTCTATTACAAAAAATGCGATTACAAGATGTCGAATATGTGTTCAGATAAACTTTACAACAACAAAAATTTCCAAAAAGGTATAGAATTTCTGTCCAAACGAGTAATAAACACGCTTGTTTCACAAAAGAGAGCGTGTGATTTTCATCGTGTCTTCTGTCACGTGTCTCAAACGCGAGCGAACTAACTAACTTGGCGAACATATTCGCCACGAAACGAAACTGTAGTTACAAATCTAGTAACTGTAACTTTCGCGCTTGCGTAGTTTCCTTTTCGTTGGAAGAAAGTGCACGTAAGGAGAGAGAGACGTGCTCTCATAATCCACGTGGATTTCTCTTTTGGACGGGTTTAAGGCCGGTCCACGTCACGTCAGCCGGGACGAGAGACTTGGCAGCGACGCGAGAGAGAGAAGGCCGTGGGCCTTATCCTTTCTCCCAACCCGATATTCTGGGGATACGTTTATCTGCGACGACGAGGTGGTATAGGGCGAGCGATGGCGGTGGGAGCCGGGGTGGCTCGCCGAGGGATCGAAACTTATCTACTTGCTCAACTAGCTCCGGTACAGCGCACCGCCCGCCCTTATCCAGTCGTCGAAACTTCAGGCGGCCCCCGAGTCGGCGGGCCAACTTCCGCGCGAGAGAGATACGCACATTTCTCAAATCTGTTCTCGTCGCTGTAAACTTAATTCCGACTGCTTCAATGCGCGCTATCGCGCGCGCGCTACCCGCCAACAAGTCTTACCGTTGACGTACGTGAAAAATGTTTCGAAAAGAGGGGCGCGCGTCGGTTCATCGGCGAAGGATCTTCCGCTTCTCGGTTCCGGTTGAGTTACTTCTCTTTCGACGGTTACGTTAACCGCGATAAGAGCCAGAAGAGATGAATGCGCGAGTTGCCGTTTCGTGAAATTTCTGCCGATATATTGAGCGATAGATAAGCGCAATTTGCATATACGGACGGAGTGTTTTGCATTCATTCAATTTGCCACATCTTCGTCAGCAAGCATCGAAGATAAAGTCGAAGCTATGAAACACCGGTTCGAATTGTTTTGAAACCAGTTTCGCGCAACTCGCAAACGGGATTTATCGCGTAAATGCCTCACGTTATCTCCTGATCGCGTAAGTTTTGCACGACGTGAAGAAGAAACCGATATCGCGGAACAAGATTACGGAAATAACGACACTATTTCCGCGGCAATGTCTCGAAACCGCAGTCGAACGTTCAAGCGTCTCGCAATTAAAGTCTGATTTGTCTTTTGAACCGCCAATAGAGCGTTGTTTCGCCGAAACTGTAAAACGCGTTAGTCGTTGCAGAAAGAATCTATAAACTGACGATAATTAAACATCGATTGCGAAATGCGAGCTTCGTAAATGACAGCCGTTAATTTGGAAAAGACAGTCTCGCGTCTCTTGAAATAATAAAATCTCTTCGTTCTCGATAATTGGAGCAATGATTGCAGACATCTCCTATCTTGAATTGTTATTTTATGTGAATGCGATTGTTTCTTTTCGACTAATTCTATCTCGTCGGTAAAAACACAATTTTAGAGTTTCCAAGTGAGAAATTTGTTTCCCATCAATATAATCTGTATATTTGATCAGAAATCCATTACTTCGTACATCCGTCGACACGCAATTCCAATCACAATTTGATACAAATTTTGGCATCAAATGATACAGATCGGATCTCGATATTCCGAAACGCATCGCAACTTCGAGTTTATAATTACAGACGATAATATCGGAGATCCGCCATGACCTCGAGCGTTCGAACAAATTTCGTGACGTTATTAACATCTATTTCGCGTCCGGAAAACCCGATAAGGGTCGTGTCAGAGACGGCCACGAAGGATCATAAAGATCAGGGGACCGGTTGTCGGAGAGACGAAGACGCAAAAGAGAGAGAGAGAGAGAGAGAGAGAGAGAGAGAGAGAGATATGATGCGAAGATGAAGTGGCGGAAACCATCTTGCGCGATCGTGCGCGACGAAGGATAGACACGACGATGCCGATGACGAGGGAGGAGGGCGACTCGACGACGGTGTTGCCGAAGTTCAGTAACCCCCTGATTGAACCCTCTCTCCTCTCCCTGCGACTACGCTGTGGATACAGCGTCTACATAGGGTATATACGGAGGTAGAGCCGCAGAAGCGAGCGGCAGCTACGACGGCACACCGTGCCCGGGATCACTCCCGCATCCGCGTCAAGCCGAGGCTTTGTGGGGCCACACGGAGGCAGGCGACCGGAGATTACAATGGCATCTCCTCCAGATTAGCATATGAATTACGATCCCCCTCATCTGCTCCCCTCCCGTTCGCCACCCCCCAACCGTGTCTTCTTCCACGTATCTCGGTCTAACGCCATCCCGTGCCACCCCTTCGCGCACATCTCCCTCGATCTCTTCCTTCCTGTTTGTATGTGTGTGTGTGTGTGTGTGTGTGTGCTTTTCCCTGCGTCGTTCTCGTACCTCGCCTGTCTCCCTCGTTTGCTCGTGTAAAGCGCATCGCGCGCTCTCATTCTTTATCGCAGCGTTCTCCCTGCGCAAAAGTCCGATTTCGCTGGCACGAAAGACTATCCGAAGAACTTCGGGGATGGCTGTCGACACACCAGAAACGCTGTCCCCGATTCCGCGTCGCGGACTTTGCGAATGGTAACGAAGGGGACCCCTGACAGAGCGGCTCTTAGCCTTCGGGAATTCCCGGACGAGCTTTCTCTGTTATTTACATCGGAAGCAACGCCGGCACAGAGCTTTCAACGATGGCGCTCGTCGAACGGATGAAACGAGTATCGATCGGTTACAACCCGCCTCCAAAGATAAATACCATATTTTTAATTAAATCGTGGTACAAGCTGATATTTGCCGAGGTGCTTTATAGAAATTAACGCATGAACCGAATCGAAGCGCGTTACGTGTATGAACTCGTGGGAGCGAGTGAAAGATGGATGAGCGTCAGATTTTTGCGTCAGATATTACACAACGTTATAACGCGCATCGCGCGTCGCACATATTGTTGAGTGCGCGTGAAAGAGAGTGAAAGAGCGAAAGAGAGATCGTGTTTTTCAAATAATAATACCGACAAAATGGGATAGATCGGTGGGATTACAATGCGCGGTCTCGCGCGGTCACGCGAGCAACTGGAAACACGAGATGAAAAACGCGCCGTATAGGTAGTCGTGCGGCGTGAGTACGCGTGATGTACGCACGTTCATGCGAAAACTGCATATAACCAACAACGACTACTCATTAAAAACGATAGTCAATCGGCAATTTGTCTCTCGATTATCTGAAGTCTCGTCATACGTGCGCTTCTCTCCCGCGTTATCCCTACCGTGACGCGAAATTTACGACTCGCGGCTACTGCGGCGATAAGCGAATGTCAACACGAACGCACACCGACCGCGTTGTCGTCGTCGTCGTCAGCTGTAAAATTCCACGTAATTAATAAAATTGACCCACGGTAAAAAAAAAAAAAAAAAAAAAAAAGGGCGTAGTAGCAGCGCGCGCTGCTGTGCCGGAAGATACGGCGCGAAGAGCCCCGCGACAACTCTGTAGAGAGAAAGAGCAAGCCGATGAATATCGGGCGGGGGCTCGATGGGTGGTACCAAGCAATGTGTACATTTTTTTATCGCGGCGTCTATCGCGCCGCCCCGGCGCGAGTATGAATTTTATACGACGTGCGTGTTATCGCGACTGCGCTATTACAGCGAATTATCTGTAGTTTTATTACATAGTTTCTCTCGCGATTGACAAGGTATATAAAGCCCGTTAAAGATACACACACTAGGACTAGAATATAAAATTACCTCCCCCTCCCCTCCCCGGTAATTTCTAACCGAGAAAGATACGTGTTTAACGTTGTATAAACCTATTTGTTCTAATAATTGATACGTCGTCGACAGAGTCCAAGATAATTAATTTTTTTCTCATCAGCTAGAAGAGTGACATGTCATTTTTTTTAATTGTCACATCATTTTGCCCTCGTCTTGATGTAGAAAAATAGTGGACGCAATAAAGTAGCAAACACGGAAAAAAATTTTTTTTCTCTAAGAGCCGCAATTCAACAATAACTTAATTTTTTTTCAATAATGTATACAGTAATTCGCGCAATGTTTTTTCTCGAACAACTGAAATTAACCATAAGAAATAATTTCGATCGTAATATATTGGAATCGACTTGCTTGTCTCCGTTCTTACCTCCGCGGTTTTCACTGTCCGCTGGCTTCACTTGAATAGGACGGTTCATCTGCAACATAAATAAAGAGACGGCACATGTTAGTGCGATGTGACGGATAAAGAAGAATATTATTATTATTTTCTAATAATATGATATTTCTCGTACATGTGCGGAGATAATCGCGCGCGCGAATTCGTGTGAAATCTTTCTGTTTGCCTTTTACGTGTCTTTCGAGAAGATGGAAGTGAAGAAAGAGAAACACGAAGAAAGAATCGACGAAAGGCGAAACTAACGGAAGAAGGGAAAAGAGGTGAAAATATATCCAGTTTGCCAAGAAGACGGAAGTATCGTTATTTGTCCGGCGTGTGTGCGCTCGTCCTTCGCGTCACTTCAACCCCCGTTCAAACACCATCAGTGGTTGCGAGAGCTTCCTCTGTCGTTGACAGTTCTGGCTGTCAGAGGTGCGCGTGGGCTTGCGAGTACGAGCGCGCACTAATGGAAACGAGACGGAACGATAGCGACGACAGAGAAACGCGCGCGCTCTAGAAAGGACGAGGAAACGCGGGAGAAGCCCGAGCGGGGGGGCTCTCATCCCACGGTTGTGGGTTACGAAAGCACGGAACTCGCCACTCGTCCTTCCCGCTCGAAGTCCTTTGGAACCGCTGCGGCGGGTCGGGGATCCCAACGAACAAATAACATTGTTTATTTCTCGGACGGGTCGCACCGCCGCAGCGCGTTCCAGTTCGCTCTTGGGGGATGAGGATGCATGATTCATGACGTGGGGGACACAGAACACCGTACTTCGATCCCGGCTCCCATCTTCTTCTGCTTGTCGTTCCCCGTCCCTGTCCTTCATAGAATGCGCGCTCGTCTCTTCTTCCATCGACCTCACTCGGTCTTGAACTCTTCGCCGCAACTCGCTCTTCCATCCTCTCTCTCTCTCTCTCTCTCTTTTCTCTACTTCCGCGTCTCTGTTGGCGCTTTCAACAGTAGCATTATCCTACTGCTGGCCTTGCAGGTCCTTTCTCTCTGACCAATTTTCCTCCGAGGATCACTAGAGCCGCCACAGAAGCGCGAGAGGATTGCAAGACTCTACGGTTTACCAGTGACACGATTTCGCCCTTCAAATATTTACGCACACACGTGTACATCTTCGTACGTCTTGCAAGTTTTATAAAAAGAAAGAAACAAATTTATTTGTAAGCGTAATTATCGTAAAGAAATAAATTCGAAAGAAATAGGATACACAAATTTTATTGGAAAATTTATCTGTGTGCGAAAGCTTGGATATTAAAAAAAAAAAAAAAAAAATTGATCTTGTTACAAACACTTGCGATCTCTATCCGATCGGACGTGGGTGGATTTAAGAAAAGAGGAAAATACGCAACGGAAGAGGAAAGGACGCCAGACTGGCGAAAATCCCAGTTCTTAACGCTTACAACTGGGCACTGCGACCATCTGTCTTCTGACTCGCTCTTTTGTTTTGTTTTGTTTTGTTTTGTTTGGTTTTTTATTTCACATATATACGCGTTTCATAAGAATCACGAGAGAAAAGTGCGCGATACGATGCTGGGGGTGAAAACGTGCTCGGCAAGCCCGAAACTTTTTCTGCGCGCATGCATGTCGGGCGCACAAAGAGGAGCGACGTTACGGTCGGGGTCAGTGCCACGATCACGTAGACATTATACAAGGTGCATGTACGTCAAACGAGCGAGCATGAGTGTTCCGGGTTCATGGAGTTCTCTTCTGGGCGAGATCGATACACAGCAGCGCAACCATAACATCGCGGTCTATACACAACACGTTGTCCCTTGTGGGAGAAAGAAAAAAAAAAAAAATAAACAAGGAAAGATTGTTCAGAGGCGTCGCATCGCGGCAGGCGAGTTACACGCGAAGGGATGGAAAACGAGCGAGATTAGAAGATCCGGAAAGAGGGAAAAGCGCGTACGGGGGGGGAGAATCGCACGTCTCTCCCCGAACGCGTGTGTGTACGAGGAGCAATTACCGGGCGTCTCGGGGGATCAAACTCCGCGCTATCGATTAATCCGGCGATACGCGCGAGCGACTGTCAGGCGGTAATTACTCGCGAGTCCGTGAGGAGGGTCGCCATTAACTCTTTAATATTTCATAGCGGCGGCTGTACGTCCGGCCGCGATTCCCCGAGACCGGTGGTGCGCGCGCGATGAACGACGGCAGGAGAGAAAGCGGTCGTGACGACAGGCGAAAGAGGGTTGTGCGTGTATGTGTGTGTGTGTGTGTGAGAGGAGGAGGAGAAGGACCAAGAGGGAGAAGGTCACTTTAAGCACTGTCCGCTGGTCAGGAAATTAAACTTTGAGTCGAGAACTGGCCATTAGGCGTTTGTTGTTGCCCCCGTTGTCAGGGGGAACCCGACCTCCGCATAGATACCGGAACTGAGATACGACGAGCTCCCGTCTCTTCCGCCTTGTCTCTCCGGACGAGTTTAACGCTGAATGCATCGTGTAAATGTCACTTACGACCCGAGGGATCTGTACCAGTCAATAACGAGCGAGACTTCCGCTCAGCCAGACCCGTGGTTCGGCGGTGAGACGCGCCGATTAACATGGCCGACTATTAACTAACCGCGTTGTTGCGCCCCGCTGGTAACTGGCAGCTGCTCAATCGGACTAGCGAGCGAGGAACTGACGTCAATTAGCAGCGAGCTCAATATCTCAGCGAGATACTGTCACGTCTCGGAGATATATTCCACCTAATTCCGCGTTCGTGATTACGGAAACCTCTTCTCGTGTGTGCGCACACACGAGTATCTATTTTATTAATCTTAAAAAGACGAGAGTGAGCTTTTCAAAGCACACACGCACACACAAGAATTTTATTAAAGCATAATCTCTCTGTGTGATTTGCGAGAATGTTAAAGAGAGCGCGCGCGTTGGTGCTTTTCACGGAACTAATTGGCAACGACGGGTTATTGGATACGTTGGCGCGCGTTATCTTAGCAAAGGAATTTTAGATTGAAGTTAACACGCGGAGAAACGCGTCGTCACACAATGAAGATATATACGTAGAGGATATGTCGAGGATATTCATCCTGTATACACAAAAGGATTTATTTACATATTAGAATTTACGTAGGCGGAAGATTGCGTTATGTTCCGTAGACACATCGTATTCGAACATGGCGACAAATCCGTTTCGCGTTCTGATGACCGAATTGATAAGGCGATACTGTGCGGAAAGTTCAGGTTCGATCGCTGACCAAAGTCTTTTTCGCAGATTTTTTTTTTTTTTAGTTTCATAGGTGAACAAACTGGGTAATTTATGTACTGGAGATAAAAATTAATTAATAAGCGTCCTGGATGAATTTTCGAACTGAAATCAATTTAATTTCCAAGTTTATTAATACTACACACGTAGAAAGTATATTTGCATCCGCTGGTACATTTGTTGGTACGTTTTATTGACCTTGAACCATCTTCTAGTTTTAAACTTTCACGAGCTAAACTTTGTTGTCAAAAAAAAACAAAAACAAAAAAAAACAAAAAACTATATTTCGCACGTTTGGCTCTTTTACTCTCGTCATTTCTCTCAAAAGGATTTGGTTAATCGATCTAAATTTACTTCTTTACTCGAGAAAACCGCCGAAGAAAGTTGAAGAACGTATGCAAGTGCGTTCCCAAGTGTTTTCGTAATATTGTGAAAGAGAAAGCGCGAGGAAAAAGCCGCGCCTCTGTTTGGCGATCGCGTTACGATCGAGCGTCGACCCTTTGGCAATTTGTGTCATCAGCCGCGTGCACTTGGAAAATCGATCCCCCTTGAGAGGCACCGGCTCAAGATGGATGGTAATAAGTAAATGTGTTTGCTGAGTCCCGAGCGCGCATCACGAGCAATTAATTAAGCTCGATTATCTATGTACACTGCGGGGAGGGAAAACTGCGTCGTCTCTCGCCTTCGGATAGATGCCGAATGATAACCACGTTATGCACGCGCGCGGCGCAAACGCGCCGAATGATAATGCCTTTCACGGATCTGAGTTAGATCATCGGTGTGTGGTCTTGTATCACATCCGAGTGGCGACGAAAATATTACATAAAATCGGCGCGATCTATATAATTATTTCGCGAATTAAAAAGCGACGTATAAAACGTCGAAGAATTATCAAAGAACTGTCCGAGCGAATATAATGACGTTGACCGGATGAAGATGGTTCGAGGGCGATTTCTGTGAAAAAAAAACAAAAAAAACAAAAAAAAAATACCGAGCGATCGGGATCTTGATTATCTCAATTTATGCCCGTTGATAAAACGAGCCTTTTCTTTCGGGATGAGAATATATACGCGCGGCTTTCTCGAAAAGCACGCAAAATCCAGATAGGGGATGGGCGCAGGCTGATAACCGCCGAATTGAATGGTGACTGCCGTTTCGGAAATTGAATAAGCTATCGTGCCAGGGCCGAGCTGCCGAGTGGCGGCTACCGGTATTTGACCTGCCTGCGTGCAATCAATGTACTGATTGAAGATAAGGGCTCGCCCTGCGCGGCCCCTCCCCCCCTCTCCCCGGCCATCCTCTCGCCGCTCCATGATTTATATACGTACGGTCTTTACCGACGATGTATTCATTACTTGATTACCCGTCGGCAGGTTAATACCGATCGCGCTGTCATGCAACGTGTGTGTGTGTGTGTGTGAGCCCGGATATTTTGTTTTCCTTCCGCGATGAGAAAACGCGATATTTTTTTCTCTCTCCTCTCGAAAACGATGACGACTCGCTAATTACAAATTGCGTAATAATCGAATGTATAACGAATCCTTGCCCTCTCTTTCTCTCTTTCTCTCTCTCTCTCTCCCTCTCTCTCTCTCTTCCTCGAAGTCGCTTCTTGTATTTTTCTTCGTCTCCGACAAAAGTTTCCGGAGTTTCAAATAAAACTTTCGCGACTCTCAAATTTGAACGTTTATTGCTGATTTCATCAGCCGGAGCGCGCGAAGACTTTCAAAGCATCTTGAAGACGTTACATTTGATTGCGAACTCTCTCCACATTTTCGTTACATAATTCAGTTATTCTAATTACTGCGATTGCGCTCGCGCACGCAGCGGCGACGGCGGCGGCGGCGGCGTCTCTCCGGCTCAAGTTAACTTGAGTAATCCTTGGCGTGGGATATCAGACGGGGAAACGCTGCATGCTAACTGCGCGAAATCTGCGTTCGCGGTCGTGCCCGTTAATACGGCTAATTTGTCGACTGCTTCGGAGCGAACGCAGTCCTCTGTGTGTTCGCATCGGTTGCTCCGCTCTCTCTCTCTCTCTCTCTCTCTCTTTCTCTCTCTCTCTGCGTGGGAGATACGCCAAAGCGGAGGGAACGGCGGAAAGAGGATGAGCTGCCAGCAAGCAGATTACATCTAAATGGATCCCGACCGAGATCTAATTGGCAAATTAATTGCGACCCGAAATTAATTCCGCCGTTTCGACAATTGATATTTGACGTTCCGTTTGTTGTTGCCGGCTGACTTGCCCTTCGACGAAGAATCGCGTGTGCCTCTGACGTTTCGTTTCGAGAATTTCATCGCTGCGGAATCACGCGCGCGGGCGCAAGAGAGAGAGAGAGAGAGAGAGAAAGAAAGAGAGATCCGGTACTCCATTGTTCAGGCCCGGTACTGTTTCGTCCAATTCCCAAATGAATTTGTCAGCAATATCGCGGCGCTTAGCGCGTTATCGGCGTCACTTTTTGACGCGGCCGAACAATGCGTCTCCGGCCGAGTGATAACTCCGCATTGAATCGCCCAGGTTGCGATTCACTGCCGAAATAAATGCGCACCTGCGTCCCCGGCTCCTGCTCGCCTGTTTCGTGATTATAAATAGGATTCGCGTTTTATTGTCGGGAGCAGAGTGCCGCGTGATTGAACGTCACGCCGTATAACGGCGATCAACACGCGCGCGTAGGCCATGTGCGCCCAAACTAACGTCCTATATCGCCGTCTGTGCAGCGGCAATCGATTGATAAGTTGATTGAAGGCACGGAGATAACTCCTCAGAAAAATACTGAGATCGGAAAGGATCGAACGGATATAACAAAATTGTGTACACAATAAAAAAAATTGTATATAATAAAAAGAACGCAGACGTAAATTGAAAAAGATGTGTTACGCGTTAGAAAAAAAAAATTTTTTTACTAAAATTAATGAAGAAACGATAATTTCAAAATTGCGTAATTTTATTTTCAGCGAAATGATCGATTCGGTTAAATCGATTTATTTTTATCGGATTACGTGCAAAAACACGCGGACAAACTTTTATTGCATTTTCGGCAACGCAGAATACAGCTGCGCGCGCGATATCTTCGCTCGCAAATTGTTTCGCCTACACGTTTGCAGGGTAAGTTCCGGCATTAACAGGTACATACACGTAGTAGCGCGCGTTTTCATTTTGGACGCGCGCAGCACTTTGTGCGCGGATGATCACGTTTTCGCCGTGTCCGTTAAATAAAAACGCAAGTTTAGAAAACCAATTCCGGTCCGGTGTTTCGGCGTGCTTTTCCGGGACATCGCGCTAAAATTCAAGCGCAAGTAGAAATCGAACGATTGCCATACCCCGCTATACCCCAGTATCTCTTTACTGCGTGTTGCCGGGTTACGATACTGCGCCAAAGCGACGTAGTCTCTCGAAAAACGGGAATTACGTTGCGCTTTTTTTCCCTCCGTCTCGTAACCATACTCTGACGTATCCGGGGTTTCGGTCGGCGTATTTTTTTTTTTTTCTTTTTTTTTTTTACACGACCGTACCTATACGAGATATAAAGCATTCGCTTTTTCGCCTATTCAATTTCTCGTTTTTTTCTTCTCTCTTTTTTTTTTTTTTTTTTTGTATTCAGCTCCATCAGTTTTTTCCCTAACGCTCTACAAATATTTGAGCGCCGACTATACTCTCTCCCTCCCACTCCCTCCGGTCGAAAGAGCATTCGAGTCGAGTGAGCTTTCGCGCATCCCCCTACGGGCCAATCGCCGTTCACCGATTGTAATCTAAGCCAATGCTTCGCATTAAATGTCAAACGTTATACGCCTCTCTATTTCACGGCTCTGCGGTAGCGAGTGCCCAGGCCGGGGGGCGCGTTGTGGATGTGGCAGTCGGCTCAACAAACGCCGGAAAATCGCGACGCGGCGGGATGCGATTGCCCCGACGGTTTACAGCGCTCTTTGACGCGGTTCCGTTGTCACGTAGCGCCATTCCGGGTTTCGATCGCCTCCCATTTGGCGGGGTTACAGTCGTAACAACGTCGAAACTTCATTGCTTCTACATGATCTCTCTCGGTACCGGTAAATGCCCCCCAGCCGCGCGCGCCCGGAAGAAACCTACGTCACGGACGCGTCGTCGTCGTCGCGGGGAATAGCAATCAAGAAAATCGCGATTCCAGATGTTTCCGCGAAAATTTCTAATTCAGCAAAAAGATCAAAAAGCGAATCACAAAAATCTCGCTCGGAGAAAGCTAACGATATACAATCCGCTGCCTCGGATTGCGATCGATCGACGCGGAATATCGACGAAGCTACAAAATTTTGTTCGGACTGATCAAAACACATTCAGACATTTTTGACATAAAACTGTTCCAACAATTAAAAATTGTTTCGATTTTTATTTCGCGCAAATTTCAGATATTTTTTCCTCGCGCGGTGTGCGCACAGATCACATTTGTGCTTCTCGCGTGCGCGCGCGCGCGCGCGCTTGCTATCAGGAATTTTAATCGACACGCGAGATAAACTCGCGCTACACACGACGTACCCAGATACCGGGTCGTCTAGTGGTACGAGGCTCGGTTTATTATTGGGGATGGGTCGGGCATCCGGATTTAGGATTGATGTGCCGTGGAAAGCGCGGCCATGTGGCGGGCCGCATTACCGACGGCGTTATGCGTCGGCACATTCACGTGTGCTGCCGCATTAATTGATGCACGTCTCCGCATCAACACCCAGCCCGGGCCCGTCTCGTGAGAACTCGTCATGTGCCACGGAGAGTTTCCGATACAATCACGTTTTGCGCCGCGTACCTATAGACGCACACGCTCGCGGCTAAGCGCGCACGAGAAGCGAGAAGAAACTCACTTGCGCTCTCTCTCTCTCTCTCTCTCTCTCTCTCTCTCTCTCTCAATTGACAGGAAGAGAGAAGGAACAAACGATCGGAACTATCCGTTGTGTTATCTGGTGAATTGTTGTTTCAAGATAATCCCGATATGCCTCGTACAACACACGGTTCAGCGAGTCTATTGTAAACTACGAGATACCCCCGTCGAATATGTGATCGCATCGCTGCGTGCGTACGCGATAATTGATCTCACATACGTTGGATCTCCGTGGCGAGCTTCTTATTTTTTTAATTACACGCGAAATGCACTCGCCGAGGGGATAAAGCGCGTCGCTTTGTTCGCGTAATTCTCATTTCTGAGAAAGCACGCGCGCGTAGAAATCGACAGATTTTCTCTGAAAACAAAACGTTGCGCGGCAACTATACCTCGAAGTGAATGTGAAATAAATGGACTTTTGATTAATCAGACTCGCGAGGGCGAACGCTGGCTCTCGTCAAACCGCTGAGTAACCAAACCCAGACACGCCCGCGGCGTCTAAACAGCTGCTCGCGTGTCCCGGCGTGCGCCGGCGATTCACGCGTGTCGTACGCGCCCCGCTTAAACGTATGCGGAGGGTTACATACATGCGAAGAGAAGAACCCGAGAGAGAGAGAGGGTGCCGCGGCGTGGCGAGACTGTTGTTGTTGCAAGCGTTACGCATGCAGTGGCTGCGCAACATATGGACAGGCGTTACGTTTGCGGAGCGCAAGCTGCCAGAAATAGTCACGCATAAACACAGGGACGAATCTTTTTACGGGCGCGTGTAAAAGCGCATGCCGCGGTAACGGGAGAGAGAGAGAGAGAGAGAGAGAGAGAGAGAGAGAGAGAGAGAGGCGAGGCGAAGCAGAAGGGGAGAAATCCCGTGGAAATCGGCAGCCGATCGTAAACTCGCGAGTACCATATGCATGTTCGTGCGTGCGCCCACGTCAAGACGACGTCTTGGTACCTCTCTCAGAGAACATCCTCGCTTTTACGATCTCGCCGCGCATTTCCGCGCACACCGTGTCGTACGTCGCCGTCGAAAGCGACTACGTGACGTGAATTCTGATGCGTGCGCTGGAGTGAGACACACGAGAAGAAATTCGACATCGCGCGCGGACCTAATCGCATCACCGATCGATCAATTTATCGTCGAAAGATGACGGGGCAACCCTCTTGTGACGAGCGTTCGAGGAGAGTGTACACATTACAAACACTCTTCGTTTTGGAACAATATAAAAGACCTACCTGTTTCTTCGCGGGTGGATGAGAGAGAGAAAGCGAGAGAGAAAGAGAGAGAGAGAGAGAGAGAGAGAGAGGAGTCGGAAACTTTAAAACTATTCGCGCAAGCGCACTCACCGTTTGGTCGTTCCGACGCGACGATACCATCTCCAGAATATGAACCATTGGTAAACAATTAAACGCGGATCGTGACACTGGCGGGAACTTTCCGCCCCCGCGAAAACTTCTACGAAACTTCCACTCTTCGCGCACCCCGAGGACGACGAGCGATCGTCGATAGGGATCGCCGCGAATCACGATTTGTCACAACACAAACGAAGAGATAATACCGCGCAGAACCGCGTATCGGCACACTTCGTATCCTCGCGACACCTAAAAAAAAAAATCTCGATCGACGGTGAAACAATCGACAATGACGATTTGAAATCGAGTTTCGCTATCAAATAAGTCCCAGCTAGGATACTCGAGAATCTTTTTTGTCGTTTATTTGTTCTTTTCTTTCTTCTCGCGGGAGCGAGAATATATTTGCATCCGATGTCGCGTCTCGTTCGGATGAGATACGCGAGATTCGACGGCGTATACAGAAGAAGAACGCGAGCGAAGAAGAAAAGCTGTGTGCACGCGTGTGCGAGCGAGCGCGACAATGAGAGCGAAAGAGATGGAGAGAGCACAGCTATAGATAAAACCCCGAACGCAGCTCGCCCGCGACTGATTCCCCAGGCCTACACGCACCCTCTAGTTTTCTCCCTTTCATCCCCCACTACCCACCCTCTCGACCACTATCCCCTTCCTCCACCTCTTCTGTCCTCGCCAACCCCCGTCCCCCCTTCTCCGCCACCTTTTCCTCCACCCTTCGTCCTCCTCTTACCCTTCGTAAGTCTCCCTCTTATCCTCCACGAACGCCCTCGTCCTTCTCTCCGAGCGCCACGCACCCTTTGCGAGAAAGCCCACGCACACTCGGAGCAGCCGATGTGTCTTCTCTCTCTCTCTCTCTCTCTGTCTCTCTCTCTCTCTTTGTCTCTCTCTTAGTTCTGTTTCTCTCTATCGTCTCTTCGTCGCTCTTTCGCCTCACGCATTTTCTCATCGTGCTCTCTTTCCAACCCTCCGTGATATCGCAGTCTTTTACCGGCGCGTGTCCTTTTTTATTCTTCCACACCAACGGAACCCCACAACATTCGGCCAATCAAACGAGCGCGCGTGCGTTTTCGCGGAGCTCTCCCGGTTCTTGCGGTCTCCGAAGGAATAAAAAAGAAAAAAAAAAGAGAGATGGAAAGAAGAAAACCAGGACACGGGAGAAGAGAAGGCCGTAGCCTCGGAAGCTACTAAGAACCGAGGATTCCATCCCTCGGAAAGACGCGTGTATGTGTACACACTTACGCATCCTCAGAGAGGCGATAGAGGGCAGACAAAGAGAAAGAGAGAAAGAAAGTTCTGTTCTAGATTGAAGCTGTAATGGGAAAACGTTCTTCTTCCGAGGCTTAAGGTCCGCTCTGCGAGACGAGATGAGACGATATCTATTAACACGTTAGGAGACGCAATGTTGTTTTCTTTTGTGTACGCGTACGAGAAACGATTGATAAGTATCCGAAACGACGCACCTGGATAGCGACAACAGCGCGCTGTGCGTTGTCGTTTTGACAAGTTTCATCATTATCGCGCGCGTAATATTTGCGTGTGACAGCTCGCACGCCAAAGTAGACGCTCTCAGCGATTTTTGACGTTCAACGTCCACACACTCGTTGTTGCGATGTTCGACAAATTTACGAGCTGAGCCTCGAATTGTGCTGCCTTATACTTCGCTCCCCGTGCGATTTTCGAATTTATTCCCAAATCCGAAAAAAAAAAAACGACTCGATGAAAGGAAATTTTCGAGCAACAATGAAGTCATCGATGCTGTGAATGGCTTGAATACTTTGGCAAGCTGTCACACACACACACACACACACCGCGTGCTGCGATAACGAGCCAGCGTTTGACATTTTGTTTCTCTGAAAGACGAAACTTGTCAACGACAACAGCAATGTGATACTACTCCGTCCGCTATCTATTGCGCGTCGTTTTCGGATACTTATCAATCGCAATCGCCCCCCACACACACACACACAGAAAGAGAGAGAGCAAATCGTTTGTTATTAAAAGTAATCACGCAAATAAGAAAATCTCAACGGACCGCGAACGCAAACACGGTATCCTCGTGCTTCTCGACGATGGAAATTAGGTCAGCATCGGACGTTATCTCTCTCGTGAAGGGAGAAATCAACGCTTGATGGAGCCGGGTGAAATGTCCGTGGGCGACGTGAGGGATCCTAGGCTTAATTTTGCTATTCATGCGAGAATTTATCTTGGCCGCGGAGCGTAAGGAGATGCATGCACATCTCAAAATCTCCGAACCAAGAGGTATCTCGCTCCCCGAGGAGAGGCTGCCAAAATAAAACACGCGAAAAAAGAACGGGAGGGAGAAACGCGAAAGGACCCGCAGTTAACCTCTCGACTTCGCTCCCTCCTTTCGCTCCGGGGATTTGTTGGTCCAGAAGGACCACTCGTACGTACATTCGCAAAACTCTCTCTGGCAAGCCCGCTCTCTTTACCGTGCCTCCCCCTTCCCCTTCCTCCCTACCTTGCCTTGCCTACCGGCATCATCCGCAGTTCGCGTTTTTAAAGGGCGCACAAAAGCCACCGGAAATTGCTGCCGGCTCTTCCGACGTTACGGCCGGTTCTATATCTGTCTCGCTTTCGCTCTCTCTCTCTCTCTCTCTCTTGTTCTCTCTCTCTTTCTCTCTCTCTTTCTCTCCCTTTTCATCTCTCTCCCTCTCTTACTCTATTCTTTTCATGCCCGGCTCACGTGTGTCTCTCGTTCTCTCTTTTCTCTTTTATTTGTCTTTCTCTTCTTCTGTCATTGACGATTTCACGAGTAGGTACCTAGCGAGGCGGCAAGAGTTCCGATAATGGCGGATTTGGATAGCGGCTCGGCCGCTTTTGCACCGAGTACGAGGCGCGACGACGAATGATCGTCGGCCACGAGCTTGGCTTTAACGAAGTACGTCAGCGGCGAGATATATCGTGCGAAAGATCCGTCTATCTCGCATTATTCGTGAAAGGCAAGCGAGCGGTAATAAAACGGCCCGCGCCGCCGTCGGTCGCGGAGCCGACCGTTTAATACCGCAATTCTTTCTCGCGCCGAGACAATTGTTTTGCTTTCGATGGCGGAATATCTGTGTGATACACTAATTTCGAATCTTCGTCAATACCACGCCAAGAAGTAGAATTACGCGAGTAATTCGACATCTCGCGACGTAAAAACGCTGTTCCAAAGTGATTTAAATCTGGATGTAAAAAAAAAAACAAATAATACGCCAGAGTCTGAATAAAACAATTTTGTGAGGATTACAGGATTACTTTCGCACAGATATTTTGTTTTAAAATTGGATGATATTCCAACACTCTCAGAAATATGTCCTTTTTTCGTGTATCGCTTCGTGCGGAATAAAATCGCACAAATAAATAATTTACTTCGCATTCATTATCCCAGGTAAAACTGTGTACAGCTGTTAATCGTGTGTGTGTGTGTGTGTGTGTGTGTGTATTTTATTTAGTCATACCGATCAAACTTTCTACTAAAATTTCCTGTAGTCCGATCACTCAGTGAGTATCTACGGTTTTAGTACGTACAGATGCTTTAAATTGATCGAAAAACCGCGCGCGCGGAAAAAAAACTCACGGCCGATTCGAAATTATGTCGTGTAAAAAGTTGAAGTCGCACCTATGCGAGTTGTCGAGAGAAGAGCGAGCGAAGCGCCACGAGTCTTGCAGCTCCACGTGAAGCTGCTGACTAGGCCGAAGTATTTACCCAACGGCGAGGGGGGGAGAGGTGAAGATGGACGCGCACGGGGAAAGGGAGCAAGTGAAAGTTCGTAAGGAAAACTCCAACGAACCAGGCCGCGTTGCTTTTTGATGACTTCGGCGAAGTTTGCCCCGGGTACGATGAGGTCTGGGGAAAAGACTTCGAAACTCGAACGTCGATATGGAAAGTGCGGGAGCCCGGATGTTATGGATTACGCGATCAATCTCGTGCGAAAATGGCGGAAAGTTCACATGAAACGCTTGTAGGAGAAGAAAAAAAGTTTCACCGTTTGATTTGCCTGTTTCCTCTTTGCGCGTCCAGCGCAACGTTGTGTTACACGCCATTTTTACCCGCCCGTTCGTTGTCGCCATGATTGATCTCACGAACTCGCAATAGATTCTACAAAGATGACAAATGATCTTCCGATAAGCGGGTGTTGACCGCGAAAGATGTCAACGTCATTGAAAGAGAGAAAAAAAAAACAAAATGGATAACGAAAAGATAAACAGTCGATTGTGTCGGACTCACAGATCCGATGCTCTTGATGCTCTTGCCGCCAGCGCGACACGCAAACTCTTTATTCATCGACGTAATCAATATCCCCGGCGTAGACGGCCACGCACTCACATGTCCGCATTAATTCATTGGAGTTTCGTGACGTAATCGCACGCGATCCATTACGTCACCCGTTGGCGGGCAATTCGAAGTCGATCGATCTCTCTCCCATAAATTACGGATGATCCTTGACTAACTACGACGAGACGGCCACTCATCCTTCCGTCAAGCGCAGCTCGTACATATATACGTGGCGGACGACGACTCCTGCGTGTACTCCACATCCTATTTACGAGTCTCTTTCGATGCGCGCGCGAGTCTTCACGTCACATCCATTTTGGACGATATACAACGGCGCTCTCGAGGCAACGCACAAAGGCCCCCCCCCTTCTAAAATTTTCCATCAACACCACCTCGACGACGTTGCTACGCTCGTCTTTAAGACAAACGTAGATTCGGTTGGTGAAACAACAATCGCGAGAGCGCACGCAGAATGCGTAGAGAATTTGTGTATGAAAGATAATAACACGATATAGAGATATATACGGATGGAAGTAGATTTAAATGTCCTCAAGGGTGATATCGATACCCGCGAAAGCTGAAACAGTGCTCTCGAGAGAATACGGCGAAATCTGATCGCGGACGATATTACAGCGATACAGACCCCGGCAGATCCGGGTCGGCGTATGAATGTTATTCATACGCGGTATGCGTTTATAAGAAAGCCACAGGCCACAGGGGTGGAGAGAGAGATGCGATCGCGGATTCTGAAGAGATTCTTTCCCCATAGCAACCCGCGACTAGAGAGAAAGCTCTTCCTCCCGACGCAGCATCCATGTCCCGCGATTAGCGGGACCCTTTTCTATCAACTGGCGCACAGTCCGCAGTTTGCTTCTACACGCAGATCTTCCGCCGCTCTCGATCCCCCCGCCGCCCTGTGTGTTATCTTTCTTCTTCTCGTCGCTCATTTCTGTTCTTTTCTCAACGACACGTGTAGCGAAGTTTTCTTTGTCCTACTTTACGTTGCTGTTTTTTTCATGATATTTCCCATTCTTTATTCTGCGACTCCGTAATCACGGACGTACTGTTCGAATTTATCAGTTTTGATCGACGACTTTTAGTTCTTGTGGCTTTTTGACGCGCGGCCTCTGCCAAATTAAATGCGCGCGCGCGTGCACACACACACACACACACACAAATGTTCTTCCGAGCACAATAAAAAAAGGATTGTACAGAAGTTGGTCCTTGATTGATCGATCTTGCGTAAGAAATGAAAAAGCGACCGAGTTTCAGA